TACTTCTGTGAACTGTCGAATTAATAGTAATCTCGACTCTTTCGATTATTCGGTCCCATGATGTTTGTCGATCATGCGAATAAACGCGAATAATTCTTCCAAGTTCACGCATGACTCTCTCAACCGGATTCGATTGCGGATTATAAGGCGAAGTTTTTCGGCTCGAGAAACCTATCTCCTCCGCGTACTCGCTCCAACGATTCGTTATAAACTGACCCGCGTTATCGGTTAATATTTCCGCGGGTATCGGTATACGGTTGAAGTAACGCGTTCTTAAGGCCTCCATGATTACCTCGAGACTTTGATTTCTCAAGGAAATAATTTTGTCAATTTCGAGAATTGATCCATAACGACCAATATATATTTATTATTCCGCGCTGTTTGCGGTAACGGACCAAAAATATCCAACGATATCGCCCCGTACGGTCGATTAGGTAAATCGTAATAATGCAAACCACGCGTCGGCCTCGTATATTTAGTGGCCAAGCATTCGTGACAGGACGCGACGATATCTCTCGCGACTCTCTCGAGATTTCCGATAACAAAGAATCTCTTGGCAAACTCTATTACTTTATCGGTACCAAAATGTAGCAAATAAAGATGAATGCGTCTCAGGAGATTCCACCTCGCTGCGTCGGGAACGGGTATACGTTCACCTTTGTTAGGAAATTTTACCCTAACTAATTCGTCGCGAATAATAAATGTCTCGGGATTATCCTGACACTTTTGTACGAGTTCTACATCGTTTTGTTGCTCTCTCGCGATATAATCGACCCACTGACTGGTCTCTACCCTGTCGTCCGGGCAATTTATAGCGGCAATTGATCTCGTTAACGCTTGTTTATTAACGAATTTATTTTTAACATTGTCTCGTGACAACGTATCGGCTATCGTGTTTTCCCTGCCTGGAATGTGTTGTATGTCGAGATCGAATTCGCGCAAAAACGCTAACCATCGCGCTATACGCGAACTATCCTCGGCACAGGATGTCAAAAATTTTAGCGCTTTATGATCTGTATGCACTCTGACATGCCTTCCTAACGACGTAACGTGCCATTTTCTCAACGACCAAACAAGAGAAAGACACTCCAATTCCGTTATAGTGTAATTTATTTCGGCTCCGCGTAAACTACGACTAGCATACGCAACGGTATATTTAACATCCGGTTCAGACTCGTGATATTGATAAAGTCTCGCTCCTAAACCGCGTTTAGATGCGTCTACATAAATACCGAATTTATAATTTGGTCTAATTATAAATAAACTAGCCGCTTCGCGAAATGCCCTTTTAATTTTGTTAAAAGCACGCTGATGCTCGTCGCGCCAAACGAATTTCTCATTTTTTTGCAATAAATTCTCCAACGGTCTCGTCATACCTGCAAGGTTTTTTACGAAACGTCTGTCCCAATTAACTAATCCTAAAAAGGATTGTACCGCCTTCTTATTACGCGGTTTCGCGAAATTTTGTATCGCGAGTTTCGTTTCGGCGTTCATATTGACCTTGATCTCGTCAAAGGTATGACCTAGGAATTTGATCTCTTTTTTCATTAATTCGCATTTTGTTTTATTAACACGGAAACCAGCCCGTTTTAATCGATCGAAAACGAAATTCAAATGTTTCAAATGCTCTTCAAGCGTATCGGAAGCTATTAAAATATCATCTAGATATACGATGACAAAATCATGGCATTCATCCCCCATTGCTTTGTTAATTGCACGCGTAAATGAAGAACCGGCAGTTTTTAAACCGAACGGTAATCGTTTAAATACATAAGTTTGATTATTAAATAAAAACCCCGTGTATTGTCTATCCTGTTTACGCAAAGGAATTTGCCAAAAAGCTTTCGTTATATCGAGCGTTGAAAAATATTTCCGGGATCCTACGCGTCGAAAAATTTCATCGATCGTAGGTGGTTGATCGTGATCGTTTTCCATACGCTTGTTGATTTTGCGCGCATCTAAGCAGAGTCTTATCTCGCCTGTCTTTTTTACGACAACGACCAACGGATTGACATATTGAGTCGATGTTTGCTCTATTATATCTAATTTTTCTAACTCAATCAGATGATTCTATAGCTTAATACGATGAAAGTCCGGGATCGGATGTTTTCTTTTTAAACGGAGCATTCGATGTTACTTTTATCTCGTGTATATAATTATTGACTCGACCAATTTCATCTCGAAACAGCTGTTTGTGTTCGTTTATCAATTTTTCGAGTTTTGTCTGCGCGGTTTCTATAGACATCGCGTTTACTGATTTAATACACGGTGTGTCTCGCGGTTTTTCTCCGAATTCGATGGAAAACTTATTCTCGGTACATCGCAGAGTAATATTACGCTCGGACAAAAAGTCTAATCCGAGAACCATATCATAAGCGAGATTCTTTACAATATATAAACCGTAAGTACAAGTTTGTTCTTGGATCTTAAAATCAACCTGCACTTTATTAGCGATAACTTCTCCTTTTTCGGAAAAGGCTCCTACCAACGTGAATTTACGTATCGGGATAATACTCATCGTGATTTTGTTCTCTACTAATTTATCGTATAATCGCTGGGTTATCGCGGATATTTGCGCACTAGTATCGATTAGACATTTTACATTAATATTCGCGAATTTTACTATCGCGTACGGTCTCTGTAATATTCTCGTATTCGACTGATTTTCGCGCGTTACCTCGTCAACATCTTTGATAAGATCTCTCAATCTCAATATGTTGACTTCTTTGTCCATATGTATGTCACCTTCGGAAAATAACATTTCGCGCTCCTTGTCGATGTTCTGCTCGACGTTAATATTATTATCATCGTACGCGCTATCTCTCTCCTCTTCAAACGCGTCGACATATTCTTCGTCTTTATCGATTAACGCGACTTTACGATTCGTTCTTAAATCATTTCTCGCATTAGCGTTAAATCTTCCCGAATTTGCAACGTTATTATCGTTGTTCCTTACTTCCGTAATTTTAACGGTACTCGGTACGCGTTCCTTATTATCGTACGATCTAAAATTACTATTATTATTCGATGAAATATTCTTTCCGTTATTAGAACGGATATTATTCTCGAGTGCTCGAAGTCTCGAGAATACGTCCGCACTCCTGGATGTTTGCGCGAAATCTCTATTATTTAAGAATCTATCTATATACGTTTGTCGAGCTCTGACGTCAGCGTTGTTTTCGCCGAGTCTAATTCTAAAGGCTCTGTTTTCGGCATTATCCTTGGGAATTGTTATTAAAGTCGTTTTACGCGTTTTCTTCTGTTTCTCACGATTCGATTCCGATTCTATTTCGTCGAGTAATTTTACGAAATCTTCCATATTTCCTACGGTGGATGGTCTTATCTCAGGGGAAATTTGAGAACCGAAATGCCGTTTAACGCATCTAATTATTTCCGAATCGGATAACGGAGGTTCCAAGCTTTTCGCTTGTATCCAAAGCATATTCCGCCATCGATAACTTAGTTTCGATTCTGCTGTATTTGCCAGTATAGAGAGTTTCTCGGAAACGCGCTTGATGTTCGTCGCTCCAAAAATATTCTCTAAAAGCTTTTTTAGCTTCCCTAATATTCACCGGCTCACGAACGTTGAACCAGCTGGCTGCTGATCCGCGCAAACATTTTCCGAAATAATGAAGCTGATCCGCCTCGCTAATGTTCTCATAAAGCGCGATACGTTCAAACTTCCGCAAAAATCTAATCTGATTTTGTTTGTCGGTACGTCCGAAATAAGTTATTTCCTCAAATGGATCTTTGAGCCAACCTCCACTCGGAAGTTTTAGATTTCCGAAACGATATTCGTCTCTCGCGGCTTCGAAAACCGGTATTCTACGGTATTCCGATTCGCGTTCACGATCCGTCGGACGGCTGAACTCGCGCTCGCGTCCCGTCGGATCGCTCGACTCGCGCTCACGTCCCGTCGGACGGCTGAAATCGGGTGCCCGTTCCGTCGGACAGATTAATTCCGGAACGAATAAATTTTGATTACACCGCTTTTCCACCTTTTCGAGTCGATTCGATATATCAGACATCATGTTTAGCAACAAATCATCGCGATTTATTCCCGACGAATTCGCGGTATCTTCTAAACTTCTCCGCGCCTGTTGCTCGATCGTATGAACTCTTTCGCGAATTTCATTAATCATGTCGCGAGTATCCTGAGACCCATTCTCTCCATCTTCCGAAACAATCTCTTCGGTACTCATTTTTTTAACTTGAGAACGAGTTAACGGTTTTTCAGTAACTAACGGAGATCACTGAATAGGCATATCGAACGTTAATCGATAATGCCCAAAGGAAAGACGGTCACAAAATGATGTTCAAACATATAAAAGATGTTAGTAAAATATATATTTTCTTGTTCTTTCTTATTTCTGCTTCCGGAACGATGTTAGTGGTTAACAAGAAAAAGACGAACAAGTTAATAAGAAGATCACATGCGCATTTACAATCTTACCTTTGTTATATTTTTCAGGTGTTGAATATATTTTATAGAATATATCAGATGTGTATATATCCTCTCTCATGCAATTGCTTTACGATGTTCAAAAAAAAAATTTCAAATTTTATATAGATGTTCAAAAAAAAATTTAATTTTATATAGATGTTCAAAGAAAAATTTCAATTTTATATAGCTGTTACGGTACCTTTTTATATACAGGGTTTCCTAGACCACACGTACACTCTTTTTCTTTCAAAAACTAAGCATTTTAGAGAGAAACGTTTTGAACAAAAATTGTATGGTTTTGAGGGGAACATAAGATGGTGTCATTGGTTTGACCTTGGATCGCATCGTTAAGGTCAAGTCATTCCATTTAAGAAATTAAAGGTGTCAAGAAAAAAACAAATAATTGTTTAAAAAATACATTATAAATAATTACATACTTTTTCTTAAAAACAATTATTTTTTTTTACTAATTGATTTGTACATCCCGGAATCGGACAACTGGTTTGCGAGCAAGGATGGACACGCGGCTGTTTTCGTGGACCCTAGTTATACCAGAATGAGAAGCGGACTAGCAAAAAAGGGCTCTCGGTTCGTGGCGGTTTACTGTGGACCGTACATTATTATCTCCATATATGTGTCTCCCAGGCTAAGTCTCCGAGAGTTCAATAGTATCCTCGACGAGCTTACGGTGGTACTATCCCACCGAACGAATAAAATTATTATAGGCGGGGATTTTAACGCCAAGGCTAGCCTTTGGAATGCGGGTTCCACAGACGGTAGAGGCCTTCTTCTGACCAGATGGGCCGCGGAAAGGGACTTGCGGATCTTGAATACAGGCAATGCCCCAACTTGCGTACGTCCCCAAGGGAAATCCATAATTGACCTCACCTGGACATCCCCAGATCTGCTTCGACTGGTTAGAAAGTGGCGAGTCAGGGAGGATGTGGAATCTTTGTCCGACCACCTGTATATTGAATATGATATCCATACAGACAGACCGGAAATGCCATTAAACAAATCTCTGCCACGCAAATGGAGTAGTAAGAAAATGGACAATGATCTTTTTCTGGCTGTAATGATCTGGAGAGGAGAAGGACCTAAACCGGAAGATCGAAATGATGTGAGTAGGATGACCGTTTGGTTGGACCAGACTATGGAAGAGGCCTGTGACGTTGCGGCCTCAAGAGTTGGACCTGGTGGACCTCGGCGACAGACGTACTGGTGGCAGGATTCTGTAGCCGAACTTCGTGGGAGCTGCATTCGTGCCAGACGTCTTTGGCAAAGAGCAAAGAAGAGGAAGCGAGCGCATGAACTAGTTGTAGAATTAGGATTAGGTTATAAGACTAAGCGGTAAGAGTTGCGAGTTGAAATCAACCGGCTTAAATCGTTAGCTTGGCAGGAGCTCTTTGACTCAATTAATCGAGATCCATGGGGTCTACCATATAAAATAGTCTTTAGAAAACTGAAAGCTGCATCACCTAGTATCACCGAGCTTTTAGAACCACACATACTGGAGAAACTGCTGGACTCGTTATTCCCTAGGAACACTGGTGTCGAAACCAGGAGGGGTTGGTCGGATTTCTGTTGGTCGGATGATTGGTCGGTTTCTCTGGGCGAAGCCCATAGGGTTATTAGGAAGAGACCATCTTCGTCCACGAAGGCTCCGGGCCCGGATGGATTTCGTCTCGGAATGGAGAAGGGCGTGGCGGATGAAATTCTGGAATGGATTAGGTTCACCTTTGAACTATGCTTAAAGAAAGGCGAATTTCCAACTCCGTGGAAATGCGCCAATCTTGTCCTGATACCGAAAGGCGATAGTCAGGAGATGGATACCTTGGCGCTTCCAAAAGTGAGACCTATATGTCTCATAAATGAGATTGCCAAGGCCTTCGAACGAATTCTGGTGGAGAGGATTTCTTCTTGGCAGACGGAACACCCCGAGTCCGACCTCTCGGTGAACCAATTTGGCTTTCGCAAGGGTCGATCCACGTGCGATGCACTCCTCCATCTAAAAATGATCACCAATAATGTTGTAAGACTAGGTGGTTTTGCTATCGTGGTAGCAATAGATATAAAAAATGCTTTTAATAGTATTCTCTAGTGGATGATCCATGTTGAATTGAGACGGAAAGGCTTTCCGTCGTATCTAAGGAGAATAATCGACTCTTATCTCTCAGACAGAGTCATCCAATACGTAGGGCCGAATGGCAAGCAGCATAGGAAGGTTGTGGAGGCAGGTGTTCCGCAGGGATCGGTCCTACGGCCGATACTGTGGAACATTGCCTTCGATAGCGTCCTGGAACTTGCGGAGGGTGAGGAGCAGGTCGAAATCCTCTGTTACGCGGACGACACTCTTATCGTTGCTACTGGTAGGGATATCGAGCACACTCGACTTAGAGCAGGGGTATTTGCAACGCGTGTGGTCAATCATATCGAGGGTCTTGGTCTTAGAGTGGCTGCTAATAAAACGGAGGCGATTTTGTTCCATCCGAGGAGTGACCAGGAACTTCCGGCTACGACAGCAATTGGCGATATCCTAATACCTTTTCGACCCAGTATTAAATACTTGGGTATTATGGTTGACGATAGATGGAAGTTTGGGGATCATATTAGGTACGTTGATCAAAAAGCTAGCAAAGTATCCGCGCGTTAAATCGGCTAATGCCAAACTTAAGGGGGCCTGACGAGAGAAGACGAAGGCTCTACGCTAGTGTGATCATGTCCGTTATATTATACGGAGCTCCGGTCTAGGGGGACGCGCTTGCACTCAGTAGGATGGCCGGAGTACTGAATGCCATCGAACGCACGGTGGCTCAACGCGTAATTTCAGCCTATCGCACGGTCTCGTACAGCGCTGCACTTTTGTTGACCCGGCTGCCTCCGGTGCGGTTTATGGCTACAATGCGCAAAAGGGTGTACGATCGCACGAAGCAGCATCAGGAAGATGGCACGTTGACTCGAGACATTATGGGTACGATCAAGGAACACGACAGAATGCTGAACGAATGGCGGGAACTTTTGGAACGTCCCAACACACCGGGGGAATTCACGAAGATGGCCGTGGTTCCCAGGATGGAAGATTGGCTGTTGCGAAGTCACGGTGGGATGACGTTTCATCTTTCTCAGGTGCTGACGGGACACGGATGCTTCGGTAAATACCTATATCGCATCGGTAAAAGGAACAACGCGAGCTGCGATCTGTGCGGCGAAGAAGTGGATGATGTATACCACACACTTAGAGACTGTCCTGTTTGGGACCCCGAAAGGATCCGGATGAAAAGGGCACTAGGACTGGCAAAAGACTTTTCCCTAGGGGACGTAATCGAGGCCTTTACCAGTTCGGAAAACAACTGGAAGGCTTTTGCTGCGTTTGTGGAAAAGGTCATGAGAGCTAGAGAGGACGAGGAGAGACGTCAAGAGAGAGAGGTTCTCACTGGTCCCCCATCGGAGGATGAAGGCTCCGATTGGTGATTACTAATCATAGCCGAGTCGCATCTAGTAATAGTCACTATTTTTCTAGGGGTTTTCTCTAGGAAATTTTCAATTACGCGCGTTGTCGATCGTTAAATGAACGTGATCGCATCTGAGGCAGAGCCAATCTTATTCCTGGAATAAAGACGATAGAAGGCTTGCCGGGATGCGCGGTTGCTTGGAAGGATCACCGTTTCGAGGTGATTAAACTATTTCCCTAGTTCTCTTATTATTTTCCGGAGTCCGGGCATTGCGGTGTAAAGCAATGTTAGTCGAGATCTCCTAGATAAATTTATATAGGGAGGGTTTGGGGGGGAAGAAATTAGGACGCGTTTTATTATTTTATCACCTATTCTACCGTAATACAGGGCACACAATGACAGGGAATTTTGGTACCCTAGGGTGGGTTTGAGTTCGTTAAATGCACTTCTGGGGATAAGGGATAATTACATGTAAATAAACATATACACACACGTACACGCATACACATTCAAATGAACATTTATATATACGCTGTATTGAATTACTCACGTCAAATTTCATACATACATACATATGGGCAATACACATACATATACATACATATATATACATATAAAAGAAGGGGATGCATAATCAAAGAATGGAGGGTGGTTGGGTTGGGCGGGTGCCTGGGGAGGGGGGAGGGGGGAAAGGGGTAACTAAGTAAGGGAGAACTGGGAACTTTGTTGATCTGATTACGGGGGTTGTTATGTCAGGAGCGGTTAGGATATCGGGCGTTAGATGCAAAATGGGTCTCTGGTATCCTGACTTATGGTCCAGTGAAGATTGCGACGAAGGGGGAGTTTTTAGCGGGTGAGAGTCCCGCACACGTCCCGGGACCGGTCCCGGGGTAAGGTGCATAATGCATTTTCCCCTCAGGTTAAGTTAGGTTGTGACCGGACTAAACACACGAGATGGAGAAATCTACACAAAATGCAGGTTTTCCTACCTTATTTAAACGGTCGCCAGTTTGTTTAACCATCTAACAAACAAGGGATGTCCTCGGACGACGCCCGTCAGGTCTGCCGTCGGACAGGATGCTCAGCGTCAGGACTGCGCTGCTACTCTCGCCACTGCGTGTCTGCTTGGCTGCTCGGGAATTTTCCTTAATCCCCTTATTTCTTTCTATTACAGGTCGCCGCTGGATTCAGCGGATCAACGCCCATGGATGTCTGGACTACCCACTGGATGAAAACTGAATTGACGCCTTAAGATTACGGCGGAACGACGCTATTTGTGCAACACTATGCAGTTGGACAAATTTTCTGTTTCGCTGTTAATCCCTTCTCTTTTTCTGTTTCAGGTCGCCGCTGGATTCACCGGATCAACGCCCATGGATTACTGGACTACCCGCTTGATGTAGCTGGATCGACACACGGTCACAGGTAAGGATTTTCCAGGTTTGAGGTAAGTAAATCACTTTCACTCTACTTTTTAATATATATATAAAAGTATAAAATATATTTGAAAGAAAATATATAAGTTAGTTAAACTTTTCGTATAAAATGCACGCTTTCTCGCGGATCCCCACACCTCGGAGATTTATCACGCTTTTTTCTAAAATAAAAATAATACTGCCTTTTATTATAATTTCTATCGCGAATCTCTAACACGCACGAGATTTTTGTTTCGCGACTATCACCTTTAACGTTCTACAATTAAAAAACCCGCAAGACGTTTTCACTATCTTTCTAGCTCCCGGGAAAAAAGGCCTCGAATCTCTCTCTGCACGGCCTCTTATACCTTTCCCACTCTTTGGTTTTCCCCCGCTTTCGGGATTCCCTCTCTTCTTGAGCACGCCCCCTGTGCGCGCGCGCGTCTTATGCTATAATATATGCAGCTATACAAAGTGCTGCATAACGGGTGTAAATACTCGAAATTCGCTCGGATCGCTTTTTCCTTAAATTATCGTCTAGTGCTATATACAGGGTGTCTTAAAACTATATATACATGTTCTCTTAAAACTATAGCTTATATTATTAAAGTATAGGTGAACTGCACTTTTGGTGTAGTACCTCGGGTACTACACATTTGCATCTTTTATCACAGTTTAGTTATTTAAATTAAAATCGCGCTTTATAAAATAAATATAAAATAACGGTTCGCGCAAAACTAAACTATATATATAAAACAAAAAAAACAGTCTATTCGTCATTTATGTCAATCACCTCCTTCGATGACCTTGACTTTGCAGTACGTGTCATGTATTTACGCACCGATCTACTAATGACCCTCTTCTTTCTTACAGGCTCCCAATCATCGTCTGAGTCGGACTTGCGGAATTCCGGACGCAGCCTTACGGTCTTTCCTTTGGAGACTGTTAAAATCGGCGAACTGGCCTCCTGGGTTCCCGTCGAAGTAGAGGGTTTATCCTCCGGCTTCAATTCCCCCTCCAAGGGGATTTGGCGAGGGCTCAAGACTCGGCGAAGCTCCTTCTCTACAGGTACGTCTGTGGTTGTTTGTGTTGTTACCACTTTTTTGGGAAGATTTTCTTTTTCTTTCTTGTTCGGCGGTTTCAGTTGCCCGTCACTTATTATTTTAGGTTTGGCTGGCGCTGATACTACAGAAATTCTGTCTATGTCTCCTGGGATCACGATATCGCCTTTTTCTACGAACATTACATGTGTCATCATTTGATTTCCGTCCATGGTAACGTTTAAGTTGATGGGCTTATTCGTAGCGATCCCTTCTGTCAACCTGCGCACGGTAATCATCGACATTATTTCGTATTCGGCTGTACCATTTTCACTGCACAGGACGGACTCATTGTAATATGTCTTGTTTTTTTCGTTATTCTGGAGTGCCACAAATACCGCCTGATTGATATCTCTTGTCCTTTGCTTTTCTTCTTTCATTAGCTTGTCCATTTACTCTCGTGATACTTGTGAGGTTAGTATTTTCTTGTCATTTAGTCTCTTGAGCATGGCCATCCTCTCCTCTCTCTCGATCTTTACGGCCTGCGCTATTGCCGATGTTGTCAATTCAATGACTAATTTGTCCTCCTCTTCTCTCATTTGTTTCTTCTCTTGTTCGGATTCCATTTCACATTCTTGTTGTTTAGCAGGATCGTCACAGTTTACCGTGTGTTCGCGCCAACTGTACATCGTGACTGTGGCGGCCATCTTGGATTTCGGCCTTAGGCTTGCTTTCCACTCTTCCGCGCTCGCTTACGCCGCGTTCACGTTGGTCCTGTGGGCCTTCCTTCTGATTAGTCGACCCTAGATTTAGTGATTTTCTTTGTTTTCTGCCAATTTCTATCTGATTTTGCTTATTTTCTATACAGGGTGTTCCGGAACAACCTTCCGTCCGTGAAATGACGTATTCCTGATACAATTCTAAGACGATTTTTCCTTTACCAAAATTTGAATTGAAGCGTAATTTTTGAGTTATAAGCAAAAATAGTTAGCAAATCACGCGTCGAGTACAGAAGGCAGGCAGGAGCGGCACGGCGCGGCGCGGCGCGGCGCGCCGCGAGCGCCCGGCGCAGCTGACCGTCTGTTTACCACCGCATGAGTCGCTAACTATTTTATCTTACAACATAAAATTATGCTTTAAATAAAATTTTGGTAAAGAAGAAAATATCTCAGAATTATGTCAAGAATACGTGTT